GCAGGACTTCGAAAGCGCTCCGCCCCCAAAAGCGATCCGCCCACTGGTTTAGTTGGTGATTTGGACGAGCTGCGTTGCCAGCAGCGGCACAACTGAAGCAACTCGACTGTAGCATGGATTGGCATGCTGTCACCAAACGCGTTGCGCTTCCGCTTTCTGAGCTGTTACCTGTTCATGAGTGAAAACCAACGGCCAAAAAGGGGGTCCCGTTTTGCGTTTTCTTGACGGATTTCTCCGCTTTTTTCGCTACTGGCGTAATACTGAGCACCACCAGTCTCCTATAGACCCTTCTTGAATCATCGCAATAACTGCCTATGACCTTTGACAAACGGATGGTGTTTGTCTCACCGTCTTCGCCAGTTCACACGGATAAAAGGAGAATCGCATCGAATTTTGGGAGTATACGACCGTTCGCTTGCTGATCACGTTCACATCGAGTGAATTTCGTGTTGGCATCTTTTTCCTGCTTGATATAGCACTCTTTATCCCGCAGTCAAAACTTTTGCTGCCCCATTGCAGTGTACCACAACTCATAAAACACTTACGCGCAGGTTAAAGTAGATGTAGAAGCGTCATCGTTAATGTTTCGTGAGTCATTCGATTTCGAAGGGGTGCTTGAATGCGGATTTGAATCGTCAGTAATAAAAAAGGACTCAAGAGCAGTCCACAACCAGAGGTATGCCTGAGAAACCCCTGCTCTTAGAAATCGAAATTTCGGGAGTCGATGAGAAAACATCAGAAAATTCCGGTTTCAATGCCATTTGAGAAATGATTCTCGTCACTTGCTAAAAAGCTAGACTTGCCCAAAAAGAGTTTTAGCTAGGCTACGTTTTTTTGGCTAAATTCCGTGGTGTACGATGAGAAAGGTGAAACTTCACTTTGCTAATTTGGCAACTTTTTTCTGTTTCTTTTTTTTGCCATACGCGGTCGAAGTCGCGCCTGCTGAGCGACAACGAGTAGGGGATGGACTCTTCTATCCAAAGTTGTTGCGTTGAGTACGTAGAGGATTTCGCAGTTTTGAACTAGTTGTGAAAGAGAGGTTGATACCTCTCTTTCGCAGCTAGTTCAGTTCGAACCTTATTCTTATAGCATTACAAAGTAAAATTCAGCTTGTCGAATTCTGTAGCCTTAAGGCCGACTTCGAATTCATTCAATAGGCACACACAAATTTTCGCACTTGAACCAGGCTTGTAAATTTGCTGGAAATAGCATGCGATAGACCAAAAAATTTAGCTTCAATGTTCAAAAAACCTCAATTAAGTTTTTCATGCCTCCTTCCGCGCTGTGGTCACAGCCATTTGGTTCACTATGGTATTGAGTTGTCCCATTTCTGGCCGAATTTCAACACTTTGATTTCTTCAAGTTTTATCTTTCCTAAAAAAATTGATCAAAAATATAACCACCATCATAATCACTGATATGCATCCATTTGCTAGGGAACGAATGGATGCATTCCTCCCAGAACGAGAGAAGCTGTGAGATGAAAAGCTCGAAGAGGTCGTTTTTGGGTGGTTGTATTTACTGACTTTTTTTTCTCTCCTAGCTGCTTCAGGGATGAGGAGGTGATAGTACGATGGAGCAATGTGGGCTATACGAATGTGGTGTCGTGGTCCAGCCAGTTTCCCTCGAAACGTGGCGAGTTATCTTTGCAATGTGATTTCGGGCGGTCCTCGGAAAAAGATTTTGAGACGTTTCGAACCGTTCTCCGCACTGCTGCGGCCAACTTCGGGAGCTATTCCTTTCGCAATGCTTGTTGTGGTTTCCTTCGCAATGCTTGTCTGCATAGAGTGAAATGGTTCTCAACACGGGACACTCAGCGAACCTAACGAAGCTGGGGAGTCGGGAATGTGGGTTCAGGCTGCGAGGTAGTCATCATTCATGCCACGTGTTGTTATCGTGGCAGATTCGTGACATATCTGCAGTGCTGAACAACTAGAGCATGTCTTGTCTATACGGTCGCAGAATGTTACAGGTTCAGTGGTAGAGATTTATTGACTCCTCCAAACTATGGACACAGCTGCTACTATACGTGACGTCAGACCAGATGTTACAGTACAAACAGACGCAAAAAGTAACTCCAGATGCTAAGACAAGAAGAAGTGAATGACTTTACAGATTCTATGCTAAAAGAGAAGCTAACTATAGCTGGTTATATGAGGAGGTCGTTTTTCACCACGACACAAAATGTAACTTCCGCAGATGCTCAGGCGTGCTTCTCGACCATGCTTAGTTGATGCTCTATTTCCAACGAGACTTCATTCTGCTGCAGCCCCTTCCGTTCAGATGTCGGTTCATGGAGGGTGGCTGTGTCCAGATGTTTGCTACAGTTTCCTGCTAAGAGCGTCCATATACACTTCCACTTCTTGCGCAAGGGTCCTCATCGAAAGTGACTGGAGGTCCATGATGAGGTCGAACTTTGCAGCTCCTATCGTGTTTGCCGATGCTATTGAGCCAATAGCTCGGTGCCCGATCAGTAGCAAAGACTGGGGCAAACGTAGCGCTGATCTTGCCTACCGCGCTCCTTGCAAGGTTCTTCTTAAAATTGTCGTAAGGCATAATCGTTGGGTTTGGTCGTTGATCTATTTTGATTCCTACTTAATTATCCCGTTGCGCATTTGAGCTTCTGAAACATCCTGGCTGAAGGTCCTGATGTGTTCTTCAACATATCAACTTATTTCATTATGAAGCTAATTTGACATGAAGAAAATTGAATTTGAACAAAAATCGGCCAGAAATTACGAGAGAACCCCATGGTGGCGCTTCTTTCCGCATGTAATATTAGCAGGATCGTAGAAAAGTGTCCCACACGGGAACATTCGTTTCGGTAAGCATTTCATATTGATTTCAGGTGAGCATATTTCTTACAATGTTTCGCGACCAACAGACGAAGGGCAAAAAACATGTGAAATTGACGTATCCGTCAATGGACGTCTTTGGTCATCGTGTTTACTTGGCGAACAACATTTTCGTTGTTACCGTCAACAATCTGTAGGTGATCATCGATTTTGTCAGTCATCTTATGGCGGCACTTCTCCACAACAATCAATTCCACTGCAGATCTCAGATCGTCGAGGGATCGCGCCTAATTGCCATCAACTTCCATGCTATTTACAACAATGAAAGCTCTGTAGCGATCATGCGCAAATGGGAAAAGGTAAGAGCTTTTTTGGCCTTAATTCGGTGATACTATTCACCCTTTGCTGCCCCTTTGTTTCGAATTTTTTCTTGACTTTTTTTTCGAGATTTTTGTGTACATTTGGATAGGCATGCCTCGATGGTACTTGGCCTGGAGAACACGATTATCGCCCACATTTTGAAGAAAATGGGAAAATGCCTGGCTGCTGTGCACAATGTTTGGAAATTGGGGCACGCAAGGACAAGATCGACCGCCCGTAGTGCCACGTTTCATGAGGCAGATCGTATTTGGCCAACAGAGGGCAATCATAAGCGCAGGGAACACAGCAGAGTTTGAAAGTCACAGGCATTCGAAGGGGAACGCGCGTCACTGCAACTCTGGACTAGACGGCTACATGGTGGGCCCCAGAGCAGGAGGTTGCTGCTAATGGTAAGGCTTTATTTTTGAGTGGGCACCAACTAACGGATTATTTCAAAAGAGAATCCGATGCTTCCTGTCTAAGTCAGAAAGGTGGAAAGTGTAACAATCGTTCAGATGGAATAGTTCTTTATTGCCTCTCATGAAAATAAATATTATGTTGAGCAATAATTATCAGCCGCTTTCATTTCACTCATAAGGTTTCCACAAGACCAAACAAAGACAACAATTTCAGACTACATCATTGAAAACAATCAGCAAAAAGCCAAAGAACCATGAGCCTGGAAAAAACGGTGGATAATTGCTGCTCAACCTAATAATTTTAAAGACATCTTTGAGCACTTCAATGTGGGAAATTCGTGTTTCAAGAGGAATGATCGGAATAAGTCATAGAGAAAAAAGACCAGCAGG